ATTGGAAGGACTGATGCTGAAGCTGAAACTCCAATACTTTGGCCACCTGCGAAGAGCTAACTCATTGGAAAAGACCCTGATGCTGGGAGGGATTGTGGGCAGGAGGAGAAAGGGACGATAGAGGATGAGATAACTGGATGACATCACCTCCTTGATGGACGTGAGTTTGAGTAATCTCCGGGAGTTGGTGATGGACAGGGAGGCCTGGCGTGCTGCGATTCATGGGGTCGCAAAGAATCGGACACGACTGAGTGACTGAACTGAACTGAACTGAAGTCTCCACAAACACAGATTCCCTATTCATATTTTCCTGTTTGTTTTTGGGTAAAAACAAGTGCTATCTCAGGGGATCACAGCTCTAGGAAAACGATTAAGGCTTGTTGTCTCTTTATCTGTTAAAGCATGTCCAGAAGCGTAGGGTAGGATCAACACAAGAGTTCTTGACATCAGGGCTTCTAGTCCTGTTCGTACATGCTCCTCATAATTGGACAGCAAACAATGTTCCTTTTCTTCCTTATGATCCTCTGTCTTGCTGTGGAAATCTGTGCAAAATTGTGATAATTGCTATGATTGTACACTTGAAATTCCTGAACTCAGCAGTGATGAGGAAAAGGTGGCAAGCTCTTTGTGGTTTTTATGAAATCAAGTAAAACCTGGGAGAGATGGTGGCTGGCTTTGGCAATTGGAACCAGGTACCATACAGCTAAATTTTTGAAAAAACAGATTTACCAGTGAACTTCTGTCATAATGACACATTTCAAGTAAATATTTCATCTGCATTTGTTGGAAGGGGGTCACATCAGTGCACTTCATCACATGCAGTATTCTAACCAGGCAGCCCACTTATGAGAAGAGGGTACAGGCAAGACACTGTGGTTTGAATGGCTGCCTCTACCTGCCCTAACCCTAAAACTCTGTCCAGGGCCAGCTATGACATTTGTGGGGCTTATTGCAAAATGAAAATACAGGATCCCTTGTTAAAACTTTTATTAAGAATTTCAAAGGCAGTGACAGCAGAACAGTAAATCCAGTGTGGTTTTCTTCTGAGCACGGGGCATATGTGAATCACAGGTCATACAAGGGGCTGGATCTTGCTCTGATCTTCCTAAATAGGAAGACGAGATTAAGGAACTTCCCTGGTGGTACAGTGGATAAGAGTCTAGGCTGCCACTGCAGTGGATATGGGTTTTGTCCCTGGTCCAGGAAGATTCCACATGCTGCAGAGCAGCTAAGCCCGCATGCCACAACTATTGAAGCCTGTGGGACTAGAGCCCATACTGTGCAACAAGAGAAGGCACCACAGTGAGAAACTATGAACCTCAACAAAGAAAAAGTCCACATGCAGCAGCAAAGACTTAGTGCAACCAAAAATAAGTAAATAATTAAATTATATATATATATAAAAGAAAATAGGATAAGAAGGCAGTACTGGAAACCTCCTGGATATAATTCACAGCGTGTGCTGACAGGGAAGAGCACAGTAAAGAGGTGATGTTTCACTGAGGGCCTAGGGACCCATCCTTCCTGTCCTTGGAGAGGAACCTGGAGTGAGTGACTGGGGTGGCTTGAAGATCCCTTCAGAGTCTATTACTTTGAAGTCCTTATCCTGAGGGGACTCTAATTCGAAGATGCTATACTTTTCTTCGTTGTTGGTTGGTTGGTTTAGTTGCTGAGTTGTGTCCCACTCTTTGCAATCGCATGGACTATAACCTGCTAGGCTCTGTCCTTGGAATTTCCCAGGCAAGAATACTGGAGTGGGTTGCTGTTTCCTTCTCCAGGAGATCTTCCTGATCTAGGGATCAAACCAGCATCTCCTGCATTGGTAGATGGATTCTTTATCACTAAGCACCAGGGAAGCCCTTTTCTTTTCATTGCTCTTCATAAATTGAGAATTGTAGCTTTATCAGTTATTAACAAGGATGACCCGGGGCTGGTGATAATAGAGATACACTTACCTCACAGAGTGGTTGTGAGAGTCAAATTCCACAAGAGATGTGACATATTCTGGAGAGTTCTGGGCACATGGTCAACTTTCAATAATGGTGACGATGATCATGGTGATTCAGGTGAGCCTTGCTTTTGGAAAAGTGTGTGTGAGAGAAAAAGCCTCCTCTGTGTACTATCCACTCGGGCCCCAGGTGACAACTTGGCTGAAGGTTTGTGCTACCCCAGCAGGCCTTCTCTGAATCCTTTTTTCCCAGCTTCCTTCAGCTCAACTTCTTTCAAATGTAGACTCTTTTGAATATGA